CCACCTCTCGCGCGGCATCTGGGAGCTCAGAGTTTCGAGGATGTCTCAAGCGAAACGGCCCGGACCACCTCTCGCGCGGCCTCTCAGAGCTCAGATTTAGGAGGATGTCTCAGGCGAAACGCTCAATCCCGGACAACTCAGAAACGAGAATTGTGAGGATGTCTAAGGCGAAACGGGCCGGACCACCACATTTGTTTGAGGATGTCTCTGCTTAGCTTTCCCTCGGCCGGAATTAGCTTCTATCACAACAGCACCCCGTTCAGCAAGCTGTTTGGGGAATTAAAAAACAAGGGCGCCATCTAAAGATGTGACAAAGCCCGACCGGTAAAACCTTCTCTGCGTAGTCAACAGACCGTTGCCCTGTTTATTGCTGACTCGATCTCCGGATGCAAGGACTGAGTGCCGGCTAACCTCAAGCCGGTGCGGCTTCCGCCGCGACGGAGAGCCCCAATCACAGTGGTCCCACTTATGCAGCTGGCACTACGATGAAATAGACGGGCCCTGGACGTCGCGGAAACACGACCAACGATCAGTGAACTGAGAGTCTCACAGGTTTGCCCGCTTTCACCTTTCAGTTCCATCGGCGGGATGACGGCAGTGAAGAAAGATGCAAAAGCTTATGGCCAGAGACAACCATTGAAATCGATAAGGGATATAAGTCGGGGTGATTGCGTGCAAACGGCATGCTGCTCCTGGGGCGCTGGCAGTAGAACCCAGAGCCCCAGACGCGGTTTCTTTGGCCAGAGGTTGTGCAGATTTTGAAATACACTGTGACAAGATGCAGCAGATGCAGATCGGGTGGGGATTGTGCCTGTAAGCTCCTGAAGCAAAACTGATCCCAGCGAGAGCTCCAGAGCATCCCGAGACATCTCGAAAACAATCCACAACAGTATGAAGAGAAACTAAACGAAACACCGCGGACCGACCTTAGTCCGAGTCCTCCTACAAACATCCTCCCTCCTCCTCCTCCTCCTCCTCCTCCTCCTCCTCCTCCTCCTCCTCCTCCTCCTCCTTCTCTTCCTCCTCCTCCTCCTCCTCCTCCTTCTCTTCCTCCTCCCGTCCCACCAAATTCCTCCCGCCTGCCTCATCCTCCCCCCCTCCTCCGACCCCCTCCTCTCATCCTCTCGTCCCCTCCCTCCCTCCTCCTCCTCGCCGTGCATTGTCCGCCGAGTCCGAGACAAGTCAGCCAGCCATCATATTGCTCGAGCCAATGAAGCATGCTGTGTACTGTAAAGCCAGTGCCGCGCTGGCGGGGAAACCCGTCGGCCACATTTTTGTCCACCCATCAGCGCCAGCCACTCCAAACTCCGCCAACTCCACGCACAGCTAACGGGCCCACCGCGCACAACTCAATGTGCATCGACGCGGAAAGTACAAACAATCCCACAAGAAGAAGCGATCAGGCACAATCTACCAAAGGGAAAGGGGGAGGAGAGAGAAGCGAGATACCTTGTGCGGCCGCCATGCGGGAACCGACTGGCACGAGACACAATTTACACAGGCACAGCCGGACACGCTGGGAGACACATGCACAACGCAGGCCGCACCGGCAGGGCTGGCAGGGCGGGCGAAAGCCAACGCTCGCCACGACCACGCATCCTCAGCCATGCGGCGGGGGGCAACGTGCAATATGCAGAAGAGTTGGGGACCAACGACTGAACTCAAGAAAGCTCAAAGAGCGAGGGCACGCGCCAACGAACAGCGTGAGATCCCAACGCCGTTAGACCGACAGCGCGCGACCGTGAAGGCGGTGACTAACGAAGACACGATGGCGAACTGAAAGTAAAACGTGGCGGCCGCACCAAAACAAGACGCCTGGCGCAGCAGACGGGCAGCAACGCGCGGCTGGCGCGGACAGGACGGCGCCAGGGCTCTGGCGCGGTAGCCCCCCCCGGTTGCCGAGCGCTTTGCCCCGACACCACTGGGACGAGAGGAGGAAGATGAGAGAGGGGAGGAGGGAGGAAGAGGCGAGGAGAGGAGACGTGCACTTGCTCTCCTGGCAACAACGACTCTGCTTGTGGTATGTTCCGTGCTTCTGACGTCCCAGATTCAGGACTGGCAAAAGCAATTGAAACACCGAATGACTGTAACGGGTGCTCGCCTGAGCCCAACGGCTTATCTGCAGAGCGGGGGCGGCCCATGAAATGCAAACTGTAATTCGAAAAAGGGTTTCTGCTGTCCGCCCCAAACCTCCATCGTGCTTTTTGTGGCTTGCGATTCCTATTTCTTTTCGATTTTAGCACCAAGCCAGTGGAACAGGAGGAATTATCACTCCAAAGAGAAGGCCTCAGAGACGGATAGAAATCAGACTGCACGATGCAGACTGTCGAAGAGCTAATCGGACGGGAGGCCGTAGGCGTCGTACGGCTCGAAATCGGACGGCTCGACGGCTCCGTGGCGTCGCCGATGCGCAGGAGGCCAGTCAGCTTGAGCAGGGAGACGGCGACGCCAGAGAGGAACCCGGACCAGACCACGATGACGGCAATCTCGGTGAAGTGTGCTGCGAGGGCGTCGCCGAACAAACCGTCCTGGCAAGTGCCGCCGTCGGTGGTCATGCAACTGAAACCGCTCCAGCCGTGGAAGTGGTCCTTGTCCAGGCCCCATTTCGAAGATGACCGCGGCGATCACGCCCCAGATGCCGCAGGCGTCGTGGCCCGGGATCTCGTCCACCAGGTAACCGATCTTGAGCTTGCGGAGCAGCATGGAGGCGAACTGGTACACAAAAGCGCTAAAAAATCAGATCGCCAGCGCGCTGCCGGACTCCACGTTGCCGCACGGCGCCGTGATCGACACGAGGCCGGCCAGGATGCCGTTGCACAGGCCGCCCACTATATGGCGAACCGGAGGAAGAAGACCACGATGCTCTGGTCGCCGCAGCGATGGTGTTTATGGCCACGTGGGCGGCCAGCTCGCCCGCAGCCGCGTCCATCCCGAGAGTGGAGCCACAGTTGAAACCCGACCAGCCGAATCACAGGATGAAGGTTCCCAGCACTACGAGGGGCAACTTGTGCGGGTCGAGCTCCTCTGGATTCGTTCACCAGCCCCTGCGAGGGCCCAGCACGACGGTGCCAGCGAGCCCGCTGACGCCCCCCGTGAGGGGCACGATGCCGCTGCCCGCAAAATCGATGACCCCCACGTCGAGCAGCTGCATGACCCATCCGTAGCCCCAGGTCTATGCGACGACCACGGGGTAGATGAAGCCACTCATGAACTTGACCTGGAACACGTACGTCGAGCTGATCACCCGCTCGGCGACGGCAACGCTGACGATAGTGGCGGCGACGGTGCAGAATGAACCAAGCCAGCGGCACACCAATAGAACCAAAACAGCGGCGCACCGGTAGAAACGTCGCTCCCGTTGGAATCCTCCTCCAGGATGAAGCCGTTCCGTCCCGCGTCCTCCTCGGCACGTTGTCTCCCACGCCGTATGTAGGCGAAACCGTACCCGACGCCATACCACGCGATCGTGCCACGGCAGACGTTCACGAGGTTCTTGATCAGCACGCCTATATCACTGGAGAGGGCCTCAAAGATGTCCTGCGTGTCGTCGCAGTTCTCAACTTTCCTGCAAGCGAATGCGGTTCCGCCACTGGCACAATCGCATTCGTCGGCGCATGATATGCCTGAATCCTGAGAAGCTGCAGCTTGACAACAATATGTGCAAAACCCATCACATGTTTGTGGCGAGGTGACCTGACAATAAGACACGTGGTTGCAATCCTCATGGGTGGCACAAGTCAATGGGTTGCTTGTCATAGGAGTCCCATGACTGATGATGCAAACATGCAACTTCGAGCGCCCTCATCCTCTGCCAGATATGTGGAGCCTATTCCGAGCGCGGTTCAGGTCTGTCAGGAGTGCAAGCTGAGCCTCCCGAAGAGTGGTGTAGCTTCGCGCCACGCCAGAGCTCGTTGCCTGCAGCACCCCAAGAGCGGGAAGCACTCTCCAGTGATTTTCAGACCCCCAGTCCCCCTGGCACAACTCTACGAGCAGGCATCTCGAGCTGCCCAAGTCCGCGCCTCAGTCGATCCTGGGTCGCAGGCTCCTGCCCAGGAGGCAGAATGCCCTTCCGCCGCCGAAATGGGGTAATCGCGTTGGATAGATCGCATACCTGGAGCCTCAAGATTTCGGGTTAGGGTCGGGTCGGCCAACCCTAAGCCTTCCTCCTCATTAGCCACGTGATGGTCCTCCTCAGCCTCCTCCTCCTCCTCCTCCTCCTCTTCCTCCTCCCCCTCCTCCTCTTCTCCGCCTCCTCCTGCTTATCAGCCCCATCGTCTTCCTCTTCACTGCATTCCTCGATCCTCTTCCTTCTAAATAACTCCTCCCTGGCGCACCCCCAGAAGTGTCGGTAGGCGGACCGGGAGTTTCCCCTGAGACTCCCTCGCAAGTCTGATCCTGAAGCTTGGAATTTGCCGCAACTTCAAAGATGGAGGGCGGTCCGTTCTCAAAATGCGGTTCCCTCCCTCCTTCGCGCCGTGCGCATTCGTCTTCACAGCTTGCAGCAGCTTCAGAGATGGAGGTCGGTCCGTCTTCAAAATGTGGCTCTCGTCTTAGCGGCGCGCACATGCGTTAAGCGTTTGCAGCATGTTCGTGGATTCGTATGGTTGAAGTTCCAGGAGAGGCGTCCTGGCACGACTTCAGATTACTAGGACGCAACAGCCACGTTGATTGGAGTTGAAGTCCCTGGAACAGCGATCTGGCACGATTTCGGATTGTCAGACGGATGTCTTCCAATGGGGCACTTCTCGCAACGAGCACACATCCTTGCAATTCTTACAGAGGCCTACGAAGAGGGCACTTGGAGGGAGGATTTATTGTAACATCGTTGATACATTTTGGGCTTGCACTGGTCCTACTCCTCCTCCTCCTCCTCCTCCTCCTCCTCCTCCTCCTTTTCCCTGTCCTCTTCATCCCTGGCCCGGACCCCCCTCCACGTCACCCTCCCCCCCCTCCCTCGGCCCGGGGGAGCGCGGCCGCCCTGGGGGGGCCAGCAGCGCGGCCTGCGAAGGCGGCCCGAGCGTTCCGGTAGAGCTCCTGCAGCGTCAGCTCCAGGCCGATGGCGAAGAGGAGGAGGCACACGCCCAGGCCGGCCACGCTCTCCACCTGCCCCCCTGCTCCGAGCCTCCGAGCCGTCGGCCTGTCCGTGCAGAGCAGTGGAGCCCTCGGCCGGCCCCACGCGCGCTCGACGATCTGGCCGTGCCGTTGGGCGCAGCTCGGGAGACTGGCCAGGATGGACCCCGGTCCCTGGCCCCGTTTGAGGTGGACTTTGCCCTGGAGTCCTTGAGTTTGGCCGACAGCGTCGCTCGGAGTTCGTTGACGATTTGCACTGGAATGCGTTAGCGCGATGTTCTGAACAGTTGGCAATCGTACTCTGAAGCGTGGCTTTGCTGTTGATGCAAAAGGTTGCTGCACATCTGTGCAGTGACTATGACATGTGATCATACCTGGCGGAAAGACCTCTTGTAGCCCCCGTGAGCAAAGGCATACAACATGCGCTCTGTACCTCACTTCAGCCGCGGCTGAATGCTGTAAACTCTCAGCCTTAAGAGAGCCTTCCTGAACTGGCTTGAACATAATTTGTCAAGTATGCAGCATGAGGTTGAGAAGAAACAGCAGCATCAAGAACACGAGGAGTGGACAGAAAGGGCCGCCGTCCCCCCCGTGGTGGGCTCCTGGACCAGCTCCACAACGAGGTCCAGCCCGCCAGGGCCCACGACTATGCCGCCCATCAAGAAGCCTATGATGTTTGGGGCATGGCACCTAGGAGGAGGGATGGGCGGGACGAGGAGCCGCAACAACCTCCTCCCGTCCTCTGTCCCCTTCCCCCCTGTCCGTCCTCCTTCTACTTCCTCCCTCCTCCTCCTCCTCCTCCTCCTCCTCCTCCTCCTCCTCCTCCTCCTGCCCCCACCACACCACCTCCCTCCTACGCCAACGCCTCATCCACCTCCTGCTCGTCATGCCCCCCCGCCTTCTCCTCGTCCTGCCGCGCCTGTTGCGGCTGCTGCTCCCGTCCACCCCACTCAGCGTCCTGCATCTCCTCCTCATCCCTCCCCCTCCCCCTCCTCCTCGTCTTCCTCATCCTGCTCCTCCTCATCCTCTTCCTCCTCGTTTTTTTCTCGCTCTGCACGCCCGGACAGGTCTTCTGGAATGCCGCTTCCGGAAGTCCCGCCTCCTGGACGACCACGGCCACCTGCAGGCCTAACTGCTTGGAGCCCGTCCTCCCAGGGTCTCTCTCGCCGCCCCTCTCCTTCTTCCTCTCCTCCTCCCCTCCCTCCCCGCCCTCCCTCGCACCCGCGCTGGCCAAGCCTGCTTAGCCCGCCCGACCGCCCGGCGCCCTCTCCCACCTGCGGGGGGATCGGACCCTGGACAGTGGGGGGGCTGCGAGGCTCGCCCAGCTTCAGGGCCGGCCCCGAAGGGAGCGCAACGCTCGCAGCGCCTGCCCGGGCCGCTCAGGCCATCCGGGGTGACTGGGGGGCCTGGAGGAGGCTTGGATTTGCAACAGGCGCGGCATCTCTGGTGGGCCCAAGCCCGCTGCCCCCGCCGCGCTGGCCCACGGGCCCTACGGGGTGGCCGCGCTCGCAGCGGGGCGGTCAAAGTCCCGAGGAGCCTTCCTACACCTTGGAAGTCCATTTGACAGCCCTCCCTCCTCCTCGCACCTCGCTCCTCCTCCTCGCACCTCGCTCCTCCTCCTCCTCCTCCTCCTCCTCCTCCTCCTCCTCCGCCTCCTCCTCGCTCCTCGCTCCTCCTCCTCCTCGCTACTCCTCCTCCTCGCGTCTCCTCCTCCTCCTTTTCCTTTTCCTCCTCCTCCTCCTCCTCCTCCTCCTCCTCCTCCTCCTCCTCGTCAACCTCGTCCTCTTCCTCCTCGTCCTCCTCGTCCTCCTCGTCCTCCTCCTCCTCCTCCTGGTCGCCTTCCGCCTCGTCCTCCACCCACCCTTTGCGATAACCAGGCCCGGCTCCGCCCGCACGATCGGCCCGCGGCCGGCGGCGGCCAGAGCCTCTCAAGGGCCATGCGCCTCGCTGCGGGCGGGGAGCTCTCGAGCGGGCGGTGGAGAGCGCCTTGGGCGCACGGACGCTGGGCCAACGCCGCGCCTGGCACACCTCGTTCAGCTTCTGACCGATCCTGCGCCTCTCTGGCTCTGCGCTCGCTTCTGGGTTGCGTCCCCCCCCCCCCAGGGCTCTTGCCGCTGGAGGACGGAGGGGGCAGCGCGGAGCAGCTGGAAGCAGGACGGAACCGGCCACTCCGAATTCCCCCCCATCACCCCATCACCCCTGGGATATGTCTGCCTATGCCCGCATGCTCGCACCTAGCGCGCTCCCGTAGGAGCCGCGCTGGTCTCGTGAATTCCCGATCTGGGCGCCGACCATCACGTGCTGAAGCCCCAGCTCCGAGGGGCGAGACCTAAGTTGGAAGGTTTTCTTGACTCTACTCCTGTAACAACAAGAGCGCTACTTCACTTGGGACGGAGAGTTTCGAGATGGAACTTAGGTCACCTAAACTCCATCTCGAAACTCTCTGTGGAACGTCGGAAAGCCGAGGGGTGAATCGTCAGCCCCAGCTGGAAGGCGTCCCACAGGCACCGATTGCCGCGCGCTCGCCGCCTCTGCTGCAAGGGGCGCCTCTGCGCCTGGCTCCACCGCTGCCTCTACCGCATCGGGTGCCGGACGCGTTCTGCCACCTCCCCGCCGCAATCCACGATCTCCGATAAGAAAATGAACACGCTTTTCTCAGCATGGGGCTCTTGCCGAATTGCATGCAGACGCCGCTAGCATTTCTACGGGTCAACCAGACCATATGGGCAAACACTGAAAACCCAATACGCAGGGGAAGCCAAGGCAGGGGGGAAGCTCACTGGGGGGACCCTGTAAGCAACCACCGCGACCCAAATGGGAAAAGGCAATTCTGAATCAATCAGCAGAATAAGACCCTAATATGTTTCAAGAGTAGGGAATCGCACACAGAAACTATGACAACTGCCTGTAAGCTGTCGGGGATGCCCCGGTCCAAGCCGAGAAGGGGGTGCTCACTGTGCACGCTACCAGCTTCGGTACTTGTGCAGAGTCAGCGTCCAAGCGGCTTCGATCGCTAGCGCACGCAATGCGGCCGAGATCCACGTTTTCCCGCCAGGTGCTACGACTGGCCGCGAGATGGGCTGCGAGTTTGAGGGTTTACCATATTGGACGATCAAACATTGTCAGCCTATCGGCACTGGCGAATCCGGGCAAAACAGCACTACAGCCTCCTCCTGACACTGCCCCTTCTGCTGCTGCTTCTTCTCCTCCCCTCCTTCTTTCTCTCCATCTACTTCCACCTCATCCTGACCGGATCCTTCTCCTAAATACTCCTGCTCCTGCTTCTCTTACTTCACCTCATCTTACGCCTTCTTCACGTTCCCTCCTCCTCCTCCTCCTCCACGCCCCCATCTTCCTGCAACGTAAGGCCGTCACATTGTGGCGAAGGCGCCGCCGACAGCGGAGGCAATAGTCAGCAAAAAGAAATCGCGGACGACACGAATATCTTCGCTGAGCTGGGTAAGGTCCTGGCGACGGGGGACAAAGACGGGGGAGGAAAAGGCGGAGGGAGGAGAAGATGGAAGGTGAGGTGGATGAGGAGCGCGTTGGAGGTACCCCTGGCGACCTGGTGGCTCCCTTGACGGTGACGACTGGCAACCGCTTCCTCGGGGTCGACGTCGCGGACTGCTGGGAAAGGAGCCGGTGCGGTTTTAGCCTCGCCCGGGCGAGTGCACCCGAGGCTCCTGGGGATCGCCCCCTAGGGAGTGTATCCAGGGCCTGCCAGATCGTCGTCGTCGTTGTCGTTGTCGTCGTCGAAATTGGTGCCAAAATATGTTAAAATCGGCAGTGTCGTCTGGGACCCAGAACCAAAATCTGCGAGTCTACTCACTTTTGAAAATGGAACTCAAAAGGCGACTCGGACCAGAATCGTAATCGAAACCCGCGGATCGAATTCGGATCGTCTCGGCTCCATGTCCGGAGAACTAGGGATCCCGCAAAGAGAAGGACGAACGCCGACCTGCTCGGGGTACCCAATGATAAAACAAGAGAAGATGGCAGCGGGACGACCGTAGACATTGGATTGTCGAGTAGTCAGGTCGCGCGTGCAAAACATGCAACTGTCTCAACGTACAGGCGCATCGCGCGGGACATTCGTAGAACGCCGCGGGTTCTCCTTCGACCGCGCCATGATGAAGGCGTCACCCTCCTTATTGAGCCACAACGTGTCCTCGAGGTGCTGGTCCAAGCTGGAGAAGGTCTCGGAATGAACAGTGTTATCTGTCACCTGGCGGAAGGGACAAAATGGCCATTACTCAATGATTGTATCGCGCTCTTGAAAACAGTTCTCAGGACGCCGGCACAGGGGCCCTTCACTTAAGCTGTTCTTCGCAACCTGGGCACTGCCCCTGCTGGGAAGCAGAGGCCCGTGGCGCACATGCTCCGAACTTGGCATGGCATAGATTGCCCAAGGATTTCCCAATTCGTCGCGATCACGCTTGTCCTTCGGACTTATTCAGCTTGAGGCAGCAACGCGCGGGACCGATGACCACGCCCAGCGCACCCACATGGGCACTTCAAAAAAACATGTGCCATCAAAACTGCATGCACTGTGACCATGTCGCATTTGAGGCAATCCGCACATTCGAAACAGTTGCAGTTGTAGAAATGGCATCATCAATCGCAAATCACTCAATCGAAAAGAATTTCTAAACAGTACGCCACATCTGGAACTACCAAGACACAGCGTCCGCAAGAATCGATTCACGGAGTGCCCGTGCATACTCCTTGGCAGTGGCTGCAAGTGCTGCACGGAGGCGTAGGAGGATGAAAGCTGTGCCCTTGGACACCCAACAATGTTATTTCCACCAGCGCTGCCTCGCGCAATGCGCGCGCGATGCTCGGCATGCCTTCTCCGCCTCATCCGTTCTTTCATGATCCACCTTGTCCTTCTCCTCCTTCTATTCCTCATGCTCGTCGCACCTCATCACCATGTTCATTCTGCATTCGCCCTCCTCGATGTTCACGGCTCACTGTTCCCGGCTTCCTGCACTCACCACCTCCTTCTCCTTCTTCTCCTCATCCTCACCCTCCTCGCTCCAGGTGCCTCCTCCGATATCCTCTGCGAGTTCTGTGCTTCCCTTACATTTTCTCCGCCCGTTGTATTTCCCCCTCCTCATCGTTCTCTTACTCCGCCTCGTCATCGTCCTGCTCTTCCTTATCCTACCCATCCTCCTCTCCTCTGCGGCGCGCAAGCCTTACTGGTGTCCTCCGCCGGGATGTGCTGCTCCGATACGCTATTAGGCAGATTGCCGAACACGCTCTTCTCGTTCACGAAGGAGATCTTCTCAACCGCAGGCGAGAACTGCGGCGGGCGCGTAGGGTGCGAATGGAAGAGGAGAGAGGATGGCAAGAGATACGGGACACAGCTCTGTTTCTGGACGGGGCTGCCGCAAGAACCATGGCCCAAGCCTTCGTGCGTGAGACACTTTCCTCTTTGAGTCGTCGTCGTTGTCGTCGTCGTCGTCGTCATGATCGTCGTCGTCGTCGTGGTCGTCGTCGTCGCCATCGTCGTCGTCGCCGTCGCCGTCGCCGTCGCAATCGTCGTCGTCGTCGTCGTCGTTGTCGTCAGTCCCAATGAACTTCAGGAACAAGGAAATTGAAGAGCGTGGTAAAGGAAGCCCTTCCATTTGATTCTTTCACTGCTGGGGGGGGGTAGCGGGGGGAGGGCAGCGAGGGGGATCCCGGGTCGGAATACTATCCCCCCCGTGGGGTCCTGGAGCCCCCAAAAAACCCAAGACAGGCCAAGAGAGCCTCAAGAACCCCCCCCAAGGCGGTCCAAGAGGGCCCCGGACCGCCGAGCGACCAGTCCAAGACGCCCAAAATAGCCTCCAGACAACCCAAGAAGCCTCCAAGACGCCCCAAGAGGACTCCGAGAGCATTCCCACGAGGGCCCCACGAGGCAAAATTCATTGATTTTCCGCAGGTGTTTGACAGATTTCGGCGTTCTCGCCTTTTGGGTTTCCCGACGCTCCAAGACGGGCCAGGAGGCACCGAAGACCGCCCCACGACGGCCCAAGAGGCCCCCAAGACGGCCCCCAGGAAGCCTCAGGAGGCCCCCACGAGGCTCCCAAGAGGCCCCCAAGTGGCTCCCAAGAGGCTCCCAAACTGCCGCACAGAGGCCCCAGAGCGCGCTCCGAAGAGACCCCAAGAAGCATCCCTGAAGACCCTAACCCACGTCAGCGTCTGGGTGGCTGGCGGAGCTCCTGCTACCAGCGTGAGTGATTGCACTTTCTGTGAAGTGTCCGCACGTGGAGGTGGACATACACACCAGCCGACATCACACAACTCGCCAGTTGAGGACTATATATATGTCTTAGCTCAATAGTTTCTCAATTCTTTGTTGCGTGGAGGCTGGGCGATCACACGGATCTTCAAGCAAATTGTCTGTTCAGAGGGACTGTTTCGCTCCTTGGGGGGATGGGAACGGAAGGGGTAATGCTATACGCTTTGCGCGTCATCTACAATGAAGGCCTCATACGATAAGGCTGGAATGGACGTGGCCCGCAACTTGCACCGCATCCCCGACGGATCGACGATGCATCGTCGAAACCCGCATAAAAGGAAAAGGGGTTCTGGATCGTGCCGCATCGCCGATGTATCGTTGGCGCCATGCGATCAGGGGACCCCGCGAGCAGGCACGGGTGACCGATTGCGAACGGCACGCGAGAGGACGCACATCTTTTCCGAGGGCAGGCCGTGCCCTCGGCGAGAAGTGGGCACGCAACGCGGCAGACACGGGATGCCGAGGTGTGCCCCTCTGACGCTGCCGAGAGATACGACTGCACGACTGGGCTGTAGGCAGGCGGCCTGCCGACATCTCCCGAGCCTTTCCCGACGAGGGCGGTCGCCAGTGCGCACGAGCGAGCGACTCTGGCGGCGGGGGGTTCGCCTGTTGCCCGTTCCAGGAGACCTCCAGCACGACGTCGTGCTCCCCGTGGGGCCAGGCGGGCGTGGTCGCGCAGACGCGCCACGCCTGGGGGGGGGGGTGGGCGTATGGGGTTGCCAGAAACCTGATGGTCACTGTGATGATGGTAATGGTGGTAATGATTAAGATAATGGTGACAACGGTGGTGATGGTGATGGTGATGTTGGTATTGGGGGGGGTGATGGTGATGGCTGTGGTGATGGTGATGCTGGGGATGATGGTGACGGTGACGGTGACGATGGTGATGATGATGATGACGGAGAGGAGGAGGAGGAAGAGGAGGAGGAGGAGGAGGAGGAGGAGAAGGAGGAGGGGGGAAGGAGGAGGAGGAGGCGAAGGAGGATGGTGAGAATCAGCTTGATGATGTTGTATACCCGATACCGGGAACTGTTGCGGTCCAGGGGAGGATGAGGAGGAGAAGGAGGAGGAGCAGGAGGAGGAGGAGGAGGAGGAGGTCGCAGCTCTGGAGGTCCTGGCGCGAGTGGCTGGTGTTCCCTGGGGCCTGGGGCAGCAGCTGCGCCTTCCTCTCTTCCTTGCGTCTCCGCTTTTCACGCGGCGGCTGCATCCTCAATCGTTCCCGCGCTGCGTTGCGTTGCTTTCGCACGCTGCTCATCCTGGCACGGTGGGCTCGGCACCATGCCTGCACGCTTGCACAGGGCATAAAACAGGACATCGGGGACGAGGAGCACGAGCGCCCGTGGCTCTCAAGCTGTCCTGCGCGCTCAGGCCGGCGACTTCGCACAAGGCGGATCGTCTACATATCTTGGGGTGGCACTTAAAGAAGTTTGTTCCAGCGCAGGCGCGAACACCAACCAGTTGTTCTGTCAATCTTCTACATGCCGGCAGGCGGGGCACACGCACAGAGGAGGGAGAAGCAGCAAGAAAGCAGGACGCGAGAGAAGTGAGAGGGAGGAGGGGGGAGGGAGGGAAACGTGGTACGAGCACCTGCCGATCTCCAGCCAAGAGCGCGGAGGCCGCGGCGCCCATCACGTGGCGGTCCGCCACGCGACCGCGCCGGGCCGACCGCGTAGTCCTGCTCCTGCCCGTTCTTCCCCGCCCTGTCGTCCTCGTCGTCTTTGGCGGTCTTTGGCAGCGGGCGTCACGAGACACGGTCAAGAATTTTTGCATAGCGTGTCGCGGCGGCGTCCCTGGCGACACGCTGTGCCCTGCAAGCGGATCGCGTGTCTCCTGGCTCCGCGTGGGGAGAGTCCCGCAAAGGCTCGAGACGCTGAAGCCTGTGAACTGGGAAGTGGACAGCGTGTCGCGCCGAAGCGGGGTGGGCCAGAACTGGCGGAGCGACGCGCTAACCAAACATTCCCGACCGAAAGTCACGACAGCAGGCTTCGAGACCGAACCAGGACTGGTCAAAGAGATCAGTCGAGAGTTACCAGGGCTAGCGTCGTGAGAAAGCTGTGGCGTCGGGGGTCTGGGGGGCCTGACATCCAGCGTCGTAAAAACAGAAGGGTCTTCGTCCATATGATCACCACTGGAAGCCCCAGACCCCAACTTCCTGCGGAACTTCTCAAGATGCTCTGATTTGTTCAACACTGGGTTCCCGGAAGGCTCGACCCACTCCCAGGGATTGGCTTCTCATCCCGAGTCCTGAATCACTTCTTGACGCTCCCGAGGCCTGGCGAGGGCCTCCGCAAACGGCGGAATAGCCAAGTCCTGATTTCTCCCATGGGTTTGATCTCTGGCATCGGGGAAGGCCCCGGGGGCCCGCCTCCAGGCGACAACGCCCGGTGCCGGTACGAATGCGACGCCCGCACCTCGGGCGCCGTATCCCCCCTCCCGCTCCTCTGCGCTAGCGCGCCCCGCCCGCCACGGCGCCCCCTCCACGGGACGGTTCGAGCCCGTTGCTCACACCTGCAAGCCGCTGGCCAGCCGGAGGAGGGTTCTTCCAAAACATGCTCGAGTGGGCTCTGGCGTTTTCCTCCCGTCCGCGTCGCACCCGCGTTCCCCTCGACTCGGCTCGGCTCGGCTCAGTAAGGCAATCAAGTCCTTGCCTATCTGGATCTGGACAGAGACGGAGCAGGATTGAGAAATGTGAAACACGATGCACAGACGTGCACATGCAAAAAATGGGGGAGGCAAAGCCCGCAACCCCGAAACCACCTCCACCCCCTCCACCCCCTCCACCCCCTCCTCCTCCTCCTCCTCCTCCTCCTCCTCCTCCTCCTCCTCCTCCTCCTCCTCCTCCTCCTCCTCCTCCTCCTCCTCCTCCGTCTCCTCGCACTCCCCTCCCTGGCTCCCTCTCGAAGGGCGTGGCAGGCGGCAGGCGTCCCAAACATCCAGCGCTCTCGATGCGTGGGCATGGGAGGCTTGGACCACTTCCCCAAGGCCAGCATTTCATTCTGAGTCGTGTTTACGGTCCCAGCCGCGGCCAGTTGAGGGCGCTTGGAGGCCGAAAACAGCCTCAAACTGGCCGCTCCGGGAGCATCGGATCTCTGGGATGTCATTTCCTCACCACCAAAGGGGTGCGCAGGGGATAGTTCCTCCAGTCGGCCCACGCTCGCGGGACGTGGCAGACGAAAGCAGGTCATCGGCACCAGCGGGGCTGCGCAGGGGCTCGTCCCTGAGACCAGCCGCTGTCCGGCCCTGCGCTCGCAGGGCGTGGCAGGGTTGGCAGCTCCTCCACAACACAGGAGGTGCGCAAGGGGCACGGTCTCTACGGTCGGGTACTTTTGCTTAGCGTGTCGCGGCGGCGGCCCCGGCGAGCGCTTTTCCTTGCGGGTGGATAGCGTGTCGCTCCGCCCCGCGGGGCGGGAGGCTCGGAAAAGCTCGGGGCGTGGACGCCTCGGGACCGTGAAGTAGATAGCGTGTCGCACCGAGGCGCGGGGGGCCAGCGCCGGCGGAGCGACACGCTATCCAAAAAGTGCCGACCGTATCCGTTGCACGCCCCCATGGCGTGGCAGACGTAGCGTGTGATCGACACGAGACGGGATGCCCATGGGGCGCGGTTTGAGCTCCCGGGCTCACTGTCCGACCCAACCGGACGCTCTCCCGCTCGGCCCCTGCCACACTTCCTTTACCCCTGAGATGGTGACGCAAGGTGTGCGGTCTGAGCTCCCTGGACGCGCTCCCGCTCGTTCCCTGCCGCATGTTGTCCACTCCTGAGGCGTTGCGCAGGGGGTCCAGTCTGAGCTCCCTGACTGACCTTATGGCCCAACAAGACGCTGTCCCGCTCGGTCCCTGCCACATTTGTCTTGCTCCTGAGGTGGGGCGTGGAGGGTGCGGTCTGAGCTCTCTGGCTCATCGTCTGACCCAGCAGGGCGCTCTCCCACTGCTCCTGCCACACTCCGTTCTGAAGTTCGGTGCGGGCTCGAACGGCTGGCAGGAGGAGGGAGGGAGGAGTGAGGAAGGACAGGCAGAGTGAGAGGGAGATGGAGAGGGCTGAGAGGGGAAGGATGAGGGAGATAGAGGAAGGAAATACCAAGTGAACGGGAAGGAGAAGGAAGGACGGCAGAAGGAGAGGGAATGAAGGAGGGAAGGCGAAGGGAGAGGATGATGAGGAGGAGGACGAGGAGGCGGAGGGATGCGGGAGGAGAGCGGAGGACGGAAAAGGATGGATAGTAGAAGGCATAGTGGGGGGGTAGGAGAGCGGGGGCGCACGGGGATGAGGCGGCCAAGGGAGGATGAGGAAAAGGAAGCTCGGACGACGAGAACGACGAGGAGGACGACGACGACCAGGAAGACGAGAAGGAGGACGACGACCAGGAAGACAAAGACGAGGACGGCGACGAGGACGACAAAGGCGGCAGCGACGACGCTGCCGATCATGGACGGAGACGGCAGCTGGGCGCCTGCGCTGCGGCGTCCGCCTCGCCAGCCTGAGGCACGCGCGCGCTGCGCAGGCGCTGCGCAGGCGCAGGCGCTGCGCAGGCGCTGCGCAGGCGCTGCGCAGGCGCTGCACGCCCCCGTCGCCGACGCGCGGAGAACCCAAGCTTGGCCTCGTCCCAGTTGCGCTCTCTCTCTCTCTCTCTCTGCAGCTCTCTCTCTCTCTCTCTCTCCTTCTCTCTCCTTCTCTCTCTCTCTCTCCCTCTCTCTGCCGTGCCTGCGCACAGGCCGTGGCCCGCGCGAGGTCACCCCGACTACCGAGGCATGCGCCCGCCGGCTGGTGCCTGCCCCCTGACGTGGGCGCCTCCAGCCTACGAGACCCCTAAACTGTGGAACTTTCTCTCTCTCTCTCTCTCCCTCGCTCTCTCTTTGCCTCTCTCTCTCTCTCGGTCCCCCTCTCTCTTTCACTCTCTCTCTCTCTCTTTCCCAGCCAGGCGACCTCCTCGCCACAGCATCTTTGGGGCACACCACGGTGGTACCGTCCGTTGCCCCCAGCTCCCCGAGCCTCCTGGGCGCGTTCTGACGATGACCGTGGCGACGAGCCCCCTCCCCGCCCAGGAGGCCTCGCAAAGGCGAAAACGACGGGAACGGATAGGCATCGGATACGGTCGGGGACGTTTGCTTAGCGTGTCGCCGCGGCGGCCCCTGGCGAAACGCTATCCCCTGCAAGCGAACAGACCGTCGCTCCGCTCCGCGGGGCGGGAGGCTCGGAGAGGTTCGAGACGCTGAAGCCTGTAGACTGGGAAGTGGACAGCGTGTCGCGCCGAAGCGTGGTGGGCCAGAAATGGTGGAGCGACACTCTGTCAAACCGTTCTCGACCGTACTTCTCTCCTCCGAGCCTCGGGAGATGATGCTGGGGCTCCCCGCACTCGTCCTCGCTGTCCCGCTTCCCGTTGCGGGCGCCAGGCGGGGGCACAGAAAACCCCCGCACGCACGCCGAGCGCGCGGCCCCGAGCCGCCCGCCCCCGCCCAGGAGGATCCACAAATGCGAAAGCTACTGGAGCGGATCGGCTGTGGATGCCAATCTCCTCCGAGTCTCGGTGGGACGAGGGTGCCGGGCACCCCGCACTCGGCCATGCCCTCTCGCCTTCCGTTGCGGAAGCGCCAGGGCGGGGGGGGGGCGCCGACAACCCTCCCGCACGCTAGACCAAATGCGCGGCCGCGCCTGGACGCCAGCAGCGCGCGCGCACGCGCCCTGGAGGCTCCGCCTTCACGGCCCTGGCTCGCGGTCCTCGCCCTTCGTCCTCCTCGTCGTCCTCCTCGCCCTCGTCCTCTCGCCATCGTCGCCCTCGTCGCCCCCCTCCTCGCCCTCGTTCTCCTCGTCGTCCTCGTCGTCCTCGCCGTCATTCGTCCCTCGCCCTCCTCGCCCTCAGCGTCCCTCTCACCCTCCAGCGCGTCGCCCTCCCAATCGTTATCATCCGCTGCCGCCGCTGGCTCCTCCTGAGGAGGCGGAGAAGGCCGATGAGGACGACGACGAGGACGAGGATGACTCCTCCTCCTCCTCCTCCTCCTCCTCCTCCTCCTCCTCCTCGTCGTCGTCCATCTTGTCCTCCTCCTCCTCCTCCTCCTCGTCCTCCTCATCCTCCTCCTCCTTCTCCTCCTCCTCCTCCTCCATTCCTCTTCCTTATAAGAACTCCTCCCTGTCCCACCTCGCAACAGTTTCAAGGATTCGCATGGTCTAAGTCCCAGGAATGGTGCTCTGGCAAGACTTAGGATTGTCAGAACGCAACAATCATGTTGGTTCGCGGAGAAAGAACCGCAGGAATGGTGTTCTGACACGGTTTAGGACTGGCAGGACGCAACCGTCGCGTTAATTCGCGACGATGAAAGTCCAGGAATGGCATTTTGGCACACTTGAGGATTCTCAGAAGTTTGTTTTGCAATGGGGTATTTCCCGCCATGAAAATACATTCCTGCAGGGCCCTGTGAAGAGGGAGCTTGTCCCTCTTCATAGGGCCCTACATGTTTACACTGGTCCTCCTCCTCCTCTTCCTCCTCCTCCTCCTCCTCCTCCTCCTTGTCGCCTCCTCGCAGCCCTCCCCCCCTCTTCGGAGGCTGGCGCCTCCGGGAGAGAGTGGCGGAACTCCGCCGGGGGGAAGCCGGGCAACCCGCATGCGGCGAGAGGAGCGCCTGGACGAGGAGGCCTGTAGCTAGCGGCGGGGTCCCCGCCCCTCCACGCACGAGGGGCACCCGGGTGGGGGCAGCTGGGGCGCCAGCTAGGGGTCGGGGGGCAACGCTAGCGGCGGTTAGCTCAGGGAGGGATGCACCGATCGATCCGCAGTGGGCCATTCGTCGCCGAGAGGTGCCTGATAGTACCCCCGCCCAGGAAAGTCGAATGCGCGATCGGTGTCCTCGCGATCGCCACACTCGCCCCGCATCGCTCTCGCCTAACCTCAGGGTTTCTTCAGTTTTGCATCCCCCCCTCCTCCTTCTCCTCCTCCTCCTCCGCCTCCTCCTCCTCGTCGTCTTCGTCGTCGCGGCGGAGAATATGTTCCCTCTATTTTTGGGCGGGCTGGATACTCATGTGGGGTTCTTTCTCCCAGGGGATCATCCATTGTGGGCTACTCTGCACGCGAGATGATTTGTGAGCATCTTCACATGATTGCAGTATGAATGTCCATCGTTTTATTCCGCGATGTGTCGCAGTCGTAGTCGTAGTCGTGGTCGTAGTCAGATTCGTAGTCGCGGTCGCGAACTACTCGTAGTCGTAGTCGTAGCCGTCGCCGTAGCCGTAGTCGCATCGTGTCGTAGTCGTCGTCGTCGTCGTCGTCGTCGTCGTCGTCGTCGTCGTCGTCGTCGTCGTCGTTGTCGTCGTCGTCGTCGTCGTCGTCGTCGTCGTCGTCGTCGTCGTCGTCGTCGTCGTTATTGTTGTTGTTGCTGTTGCGCGGCGGGTGCCGCGGATATATACATATGTTCCACGAACGGTTTTCCCCAAGTAGGTTCATAAGGGCGTCGACGTGATTTATTGGGGGGGGCTAGAGACCTGTAGAGGTTATTGGGAACAAGAAGTGCGACTTGCGCCCGCCCGCCGTGGTACAGTCATCATTCAGTCAGTTCCTTGACTGTATGGGGGCAGGAGCCATGGATGACATGAGCTTCAAGTCGTGTCCTGTCGTCGGAGAGCCTATTATCGTTGATGCGAAAGCGCGCCTCGTCCACGTCGTCGTCGCTGTCGCTACGTAGGCGCGTTCCAGTGCTCCAGGCCTGACTCCCTTACCAGCGGCCCCCGCCCAGACACCCCTGTAGAGGGGGGCGCGGGGACACTGCCGATCCAGAGCAGCGCGTCTGTCGCGCGGGGGGGGGGGGGCATGCGCGGGCAACACGCTGCGCCTGGTCCCCGCAGACCTCGCTGGGCCCCATGATCTTGGCCATGATCTGCAGGGGGGGGGGGGGCTGCAAGGAGGCACGACCAGGAGATAGGAGGAGCGACTCAGGGATGGAGGCCGAGGCGAGAGGGGGCCCCTGCAAGGAGGCACCACCAGGGGGGGGGAGGTTGGAGAGGGATGGAGGTTCGAGGCGGGAGGAGGGAGGCGGAAGAGGGGCGGAGGCAGGAGGGAGGATGCACGAGGGGCGAGGCACGAGGGATGAGAGAGGAGGCAGGAGAGGGGAAGCAGGAGGGAGGGGGGCAGGAGGAAGGAGCTGCAGGGAAGGGACCGGAGTGAGGATGACAAGCCGCCCTCAGGAGAAATACCAAAATTCGCAATTTCCTGGGAGGGGGAGCAACGTGTGTGACACCGGCTTCCCAGCTCCTGCATGGGGCGCAAGTCGCCCCATCGCGCCCTAAGTCTCCCTCGCATCGGACCGAGACCTGCGCCACTGACACAAAAGTATGGATACGGCGACTGCTGGCTACTCTGAGGACCTCAATCATTTTGGGGTGACAGGTAGTCCAAGAGGGGGGCGGTCTGCCCTCTTGGGGAAAGGTCCCGTAGTCTCGGGGCGGCCCCCGGTTGACCAGTGGGGGTCGCCCTTGTTACCCCAGGGATGGCCTGTGCGAGCACACCCCTCACACGAACCTTTCTCTCGCACGCTAACCAGCTCAACATAGCGCCCATCGAACGCAACGTCAGCGCTTGGGGGTCCATGTTGTCCAGGGGGTGACACTGCACGACGGAAGGCGCGACGGCCGCGGTCGCGTTCTGAGCTGGCGGCCAGGTATGGGGTGCGGCACGGCCCTCCTGGGTGGAACAACTCCGCCCGCGGTCGACCGGGGGCGTCTCCACTATCGGCTGTGGCTCCCCTGCTTGGGGACCTGCCGAGGCTGCCTGCGTGCTCACTGGAACGCCAGGTCGCTGCAGTCCGTGCGGGAGGGTCCTGAGTCCTGGGGGCGGGGTGGGTTCTCTGTAGCCCGGGCGGGGGCCTTGTAGTCCAGGGGGGGGCCCCTGTAATCCAGGGGGTGGGGCCTGCGGTCCAGGGTCGAAGAGACTGTCGAGCATCAGAGAATCCGACCGACCTTGGCGTGGAAGCACCACGTCCCACAGAAGGGGGTGAGCGGGCTGCGTTTTTCTGGTAGCTTTCGCTGCTGTGTTACTTCTGCTTGGGCAACCATGTCATAGGAGTTCGACTGGCGTGGTATAAGGATCCCCAACACGGTTCCATGTGGCCTCAAACAGCCCCAAGATGGACCAATAAGGCCAAAGACGGATGGAAAAGCCCCAACGATGTCCCACGAGGGCTCCCTGAGGGATTCATACCCAGGAGAACCCAAAGATTTAGTAGAAGACGGCCAAAACCCCAGGAGGCATTTAAGAACGCCTGAGAGGGCTGTCTCGACGACACTTCGGGGACCCACAACTCAGCCACAGCCGAGCGAATTGTACATCGGTGATCGGCTATGCAGCGAAGGCAGTGCAATTTTCATGAAGGAAGGGGCAGCGAAGGCTATGCACCGCGGGCGTCTGCTATACCCCCCCCCCCTCGTCTACAATCCCTCCCCGTGAGAGGGGGTGCTGGGCCTCCTGCTGGACCTCGAAACTCCTGAAGCGCACCGTCACTGTGCGCGTCGGCGCCGTGATCTGGTGCCCGTGGAGCACGATCTGGGCCGCCGCGGGTGACCCCGACTCCCAAGAAGGAGAGCGGAAGGAGGGGCAGCATGGTCGCCCTGCAGACGATGGCCTCCTCGTATCGTCCTCTTCCACTCCCTCCCCTCTCCCTCCTCCATCCTCTCGTCATCATTCGCCTCCTCCGCTTTCTCCTCCTCCTCCTCCTCCTCCTCCTCCTCCTCTTCCTCCTCCTCCTCCTCATACGCCTGCATCCGCTTGGTCCTTCCTCCACCTCCCCGCCTTCGTTCCCTTCCTCCTCCTCCTCCTCCTCCTCCTCCTCCTCCTCCTCCTCCTCCTCCTCCTCATCGCCATTCTCATGGTCATGCTACTCCTCCAACCAAAGGCGAGGTATCGGGCTCGGTGGAGAGAGAGAGAGAGAGAAACAAACAAACGATACAGTAAGAAAACAAGAAAGAGACAGAGAGAGAGAGAGAGAAAGCCGTCCTTCTGGCCTCCAGAGATCTTGTAGTCGCAGCAGGGGGAGACGCTCGCGGGAGCCTGGGACGGGTTGCTGACGGCGGGCGGGCGGGCTTACGAGTGGACCCAGAATAACGTCTGGGATCCGAATGTGCTGGGCGCTGCTTAGTGGGGAGGCGATAGATCGTGGGGCGAAGAAGCCTGCACCTTTGGTGCCCCGCTTGGGCCCCAGCTGGCCCCTTCAGGGCACCCAAGGTGCACGAGACGTGCATGTTCCTGCGCCGCCCCCCATTGATCGCCCCCAAATTCAGCAACGTCCGAGTATGGGCGGAACCCTCTGTGGCCGGGGCCTCACATATGGCGCGACCCGAAGCTCGGCGGTCCGGGGCCCAGCGCAAATTGTGAGATGCTGGCGCTCGCAAGGCGCGCGAAGCATGCCAGCCGGCGGGCTGGCGTGGGACGATTTCTGCGCTGTCGACGGCAGCGAGACTTGTCCAGCCGCCTTCCCCCCTCCCTCCCTCCGATATCCCACAGGCATCCCGCCTCCCAACACTTTTCCCTTCCCCCCCGCCTCCTCCTCCTCCTCCTCCTCCTCCTCCTCCTCCTCCTCCTCCTCCTCCTCCTCCTCCTCCTCCTCCTCCTACCCCTACACCTCCTCGCGCCCTCGCACTCCATCCTCCTTCTGCCTCCTCTTTGCTCCCTCTTCGTCCATTCTCCCCTGCCTCTCTGTCTCTCCTCTCTCGGAGTCGTCGTTGTCGTTGTCGTCGATGTCGTCCTCATCGTTGTCCTTCTCCACCTTGGTGCACGACAGGCCACATTTTCTGAAGGAGGCCGAAAAGGCAGCGCTGAGGACGCTAAGCAGAAGTGGCCACGGAGAGAGTTCCTGCGCAAAGGTCGATGCGGAACGGAGAGCGGTCGGTCGATGGAGCCGCGCCAACTTGTGGACCCTCCTCCTCCTCCTCCTCCTCCTCCTCCTCCTCCTCCTCCTCCTCCTCCATCCCCTGGCCTGCCCCTCCACCGTCACCTTCCCTCACCGGCCCTCTCCATCCCAGGGTCCAGCATCGCCGATGGCGGCAGCAAGTGGAAGAACATGGGCCCGGCCACCAGATCCGCCTTGCGGCGGGGATCCTTCGGATCCGGCTTCTCGTTGACGGAGACCAGGACGCCTGCGAGGGGCGAGGCGGCGCGAGGCAGCGGGCGGCCAGCCGGTCTGAATCCAGCTCGGGCTGCGGAGGTGGAGCGATGGAGGGCTGCAGGGGTGCAGGGGGGGAAGGGAACAGGGAGGGGGGGGCAGAGGAGAGGCGCGAAGAGGATGAGGAGCAGTGGGAGGAGGACGAGGTGGACATGATGAGGCCGGCGACGACGTTGTCGGCGACGATGCTCGCGGCGACACCGAACAGGACTGCCCCCGTGGCGCTCCGCGGGGCAGATCCTGCCTGGCAGCTCAGCAGGGAGGCCTGGCGCGGCAGCGGCAGCGGAGCCTTCCTGGGAGGCACGCGGCGGTGAGGGTCAGGGCCGCGCCAACGACGCTGACAACAACGACGACGACGACGGCGACGGCGACGGCGACGGCGACAGCGACGATCCACGATCGACGATCGACGGCGACGACGACGGCGACGGCAGCGGCGGGGACGACGACGACGACGATCCCCGCGCGGCCGCCGCAGAGCCTCCTCGGATGCTCGTAAAAGCGGTGAGGTTCGGGGTCACGAAGGAGATCCCCTCCTCTGGGCGTCAGACAGAGGACCTCCCTGCTGCAAGGACGCCAACTTTCCACCTACACCCATCCTGGCTATCCGTCCTCGGCCCCGGCCAGTGGCCCCACCATCCTGCCGGCCACGATCAGCCCAAGGTGCACAAGTGCTCCCCGAGCTGCGGCCGACCGACCGAAGCGAGACAACGAAGCGAGGGACGCGAGGGGCGTGGAGAGTAGTCTGGGGAGGCACGTCTCATCCTGCCCCCCCCCACGTGCAGTCCTGCCTGTCCTCATCATGCCGGCCTCTTGCCGCCTCTTCCTACTCCTCCTCCTCGCCTCCTCCTCCTCCTCCTCCTCCTCCTCCGCCCGCTTGCCCCTCCTCGTCGTCCGCCTTGTCCTTTGTCCCCTCCTCCTCCTCCTCCTCCTCCTCCTCCTCCTCCTCCTCCTCCTCCTCCTCCTCGCCTCCTCCTCCTCCTCCTCCTCCTCCTCCCCCGCCCCATATTCTGCCACCTCCTGCTCCTCCCCTCCTCCTCTCTCTCTCTCTCTCTCTCTCTCTCCTCTCTCCTCTCTCTCTCTCTCTCTGTTCTCTCTCTCTCTCTCTCTCTCTCTTCTCCCTCGCTCTCCCTCTTGCTCTCTCTGTCTCCTGTCCTCCTCGCCTCACCATTTCCCTTCCCATCCTTCCCTCATCTGTTCCTCCTCTTCCTCTCCTCTTCCTCTTCGTCCTCCTCCTCATCCCTCCTCCTCCTCCTCCTCCTCCTCCTCCTCCTCCTCCTCTCCTCCTCTCTCCTCCTCCTCCTCCTCCTCCTCCTCCTCTCTCCTCCTCCTCTCCTCCTCCTCTCCCTCCTCCTCCCTCCTCCTCCTCCTCCTTCTCTCCTCCTCCTCCTCCTCCTCCTCCCCTCCTCCTCCCTCCTCCTCCTCCTCCTCCTCCCTCCTCCTCTCCCTCCTCCTCCTCCTCCTCCCTCCTCCCTCCTCCTCCTCCCTCCTCCTCCCGTCCTCCCTCCTCCCTCTCCCTCCTCCCTCCCCCTCCTCCCCCTCCTCTCCCTCTCCTCTCCTCCTCCCCTCCTCCTCCCTCCTCCCTCCTCCCTCCTCCCTCCTCGTTCCTCCCTCCTCCCTCCCTCCTCCCTCCTCCTCCTCCCTCCCCTCCTCCCCTCCCTCCTCCCTCCTCCCTCCTCCCTCCTCCCTCCTCCTCCTCCCTCCTCCTACCTCCTCCTCCTCCCTCCTCCTCCTCTCCTCCTCCTCCTCCTCCTCCTCCTCCTCCTCCTCCTCCTCCTCCTCCTCCTCCTCCTGCAGCGGGGCCCTGGAGGTCCCGAGTCCGAGGGGACCTCCAGGGCACTCGGGGGGGGCGCGGCGCGGGCCCTTTCCTGCAGCCCCCACGCCGCCGCCCCTGAGCTTCGCCGAGAACGCGACGATGAGCAGGGGCACCGAGACGCCGCCCTGGGCCAGCCGCCCGCGCCCACGGCGCCTGGTTGCCGCCAGCCGCCGCCCTCCTGCCGCCAGGCCGCGGCGCTGCCCGGCCGCCCGGCGTCCAGAAGCAGTGGCTCGAGCCGCGTCAGGGCCCAGCCGCCGCGCGCCCCGCCTTCGTCGGCCAGCGCGCCGGTCCCCCAGCGCGCCCTGCCGGGCCGGCCCGCCCTGGCCGGGGCCGCCCCCTGCGCCCAGAAGCAGCCCCGAGCCGTCGCCCAGCAGTCAGCCTAGCGTCGCCGCCGCACCGCGGCCTCAGGCCAGCCCAGCTGCCCGGCGGCGCTGCAGGGCCAACTGCGCCTGCACGGCGCAGCTGATGACCCTGTAGGCCCGCGCCAGCTCGCCGGGCTGCTGGTCCCCGGGCAGAGTGCGCACCTGCCGCAAGAGCCACTGCCTGGCCTCCCCGCCGAGGCGACCCGGGGTCTCCACCACGAATGGCGTCAGCCTGTCCCCCGGGTACCTGGCGTGCTTGTGGCGCTCGGCCCGCCTCGCGGCTTCCCCTGGCCGCCGCGCCGCCGCCGGCATCACGTCCTCCGCCGCCGGGTGGCGGACCGACACGTCGATCCAGTGCCGACCCGCCCCGTCGTTATATTCGACGTCCAGGATCGCGCGCTCGACGAGGTCCGCGCCCGGCAGGTCCGTCGGGCGCCGGTTGCGGACGCGGTCCCAGGCCGGCACCCGCTGCTCCGTCAGCGGCTCTTGGTGCAGCCAGCGCTGGACCAGGCCAGCCCCCTCCTCCTCCTCCTCCTCCTCCTCCGCCTCCTCCTCCTCCTCCTCCTCCTCCTCCTCCTCCTCCTTCTCCGCCTCCGCCTCCGCCTCCGCCTCCGCCTCCGCCTCCGCCTCCTCTTCCTTGGCACCTGTGCCACTGGGTAGGGGCGGGGGAGAGAACATGTTGTGCCTCGTCGATGTGGTTTCCCATCCCTTACGGTGGCCCTGGGCGGCAGGCCGAGTGGCGTGTCGTTATCCGTTGGAAGGCTGTGTGCCCGCCGCCTCGAAACTATCAGAACGCGCGGCAAGGCAAAAAGGCGTGCTGCGCGCGGCGCGTAAAAGTGCGAGTCGTTTGATCTGCTTTTGGTGGGTTGGCCAGGAAGGAGTGAACACCTCAGTGATGGAGGGACTCTTTTGGTGGTATCATGTATGTTCGTGTTCCACAACTTTCGAGGCTGGCTCCACGGGTGCGCCTCCTGTCCCTCGTAGCCGCGCTGCTCATCGTGTTCAGAGGTGCATCTTTTGCATCCTATCACTCTTGTGATGGCGGGGATTCCTGGTAACTCTCCTCCTCCTCCTCCTCCTCCTCCTCCTCCTCCTCCTCCTGCCCCTCCTCCTCCTCCTCCTCCTCCTCCTCCTCCTCCTCCTCCTCCTCCTCCGCCTCCGCCTCCGCCTCCGCCTCCGCCTCCGCGCCTCCGCCTCCCTCCTCCTCCTCCTCCTCCTCCTCCTCCTCCTCCTCCTCCTCTCCTCCTCCTCCTCCTCCTCCTCCTCCTCCTCCTCCTCCCCTTCACCTCCCCATCCTCCACACGCGAGTGTACTAGCATTCCTTCCTCGCTCCTCCCTCGTTTTCCCCTCTTCCTCCCTCCCTCATCCCCTCGCATCCCCTCTCCTCCTCACATCTCTTCCTCCCCCTTCCCCTTCTCTCCCCCTCACCCCTCTCTCCTCTCCTCATCCTCTTCGCTACTCCTCGTTGCTCCTCCTCTCCTCGTCATCCTGCTCGTGCGACTGTGCTGGCATGTGCCGATGCCGCGGTCCTGCGAACTCTCCAGCGGCACAATGGCCAGCGGCATGTTCCTGACCTTGCCCTGCAGGGGAGGAGGAGGGAGGGATGGAGGGAGGGGAAGGACAGAGGACGGGGAAGAGGAGGTCCTCCTCCTCCTCCTCCTCCTCCTCCTCCTCCTCCTCCTCCTCCGCCTCCTCCTACTCCTCCTCCTCCTCCTCCGCCTCCTCCTCCGCCTCCTCCTCCTCCTCCTCCTCCTCCTCCTCGGGCGTGGACCCTCGCCGCCTCGCCGATGGCGGTGGTCTCGCCGCAACGCGCGGGTGGCGATTGGATTGGCCGCTCTGGCTGCCCCCGGGGGTCCCGCTCGCGGGTGCTGGGTGTTTTCCGAGAGCGCCCAAGGCCGTGGCACGGAGGGGAAGAGCAACGAGGAGCGAGGGGGGAGCGGAGAGCGAGCGAGCGAGCGAGTGGCGCAGCAGCAGTCGATCCGATAGCTGAGGCAAGGCTGAGCGAAGACAACAGAGTGGCAAAATGAGAATCCCACCCCTCCGCTCGAATAGAGCAGCCAACGGGGCTGCTCCAAAGGCCTAGTGTCTGCGCCTCCCGTGGGTACAGCGCAGCATGCTCTGCACATCTACATTTCGGCACGAGGCCGAACGGAAGGTCGTGTGTCTGTTCGGTCTGCGCCGGGCGAGTAGACTTATCAACGGTCAATAAGACGGCGTGCCCATCTCTCAAGATCCCGATCCCATCGCCTCGGAGAGAATCATACAAGACCTATCCAAAGCTGCAGCATTCGAATCAACCAGCCCCCTTGTGGGGCCTGGGGGGGGCGTGGGACACGTAAACATTCATGAGATTCGCGCCCCCGAGGCCACAATCTTTCGCACATTACATAATATTCGCGTCCCCGAGGCCAAACAACCTAGTAAATTACGCAATGCTTGCGTCCCCGAGGCGGCAAACCCTACAAAGTTACTCAATATTAGCCACCCCGAAGCCATAAACCTTTGCGAATTACGTCGTAGTCGCATTGTCGAGGCCAAGAGTGCTCCAAGGCGCCCGAAGATGGTTCCAAGACGGCCCAAGAGGGCGCAAAGAGGCCCCAAGAGCGCTCCAAGAGACCTCCCGAGAGAGCCCCACGAGTCCATCATCGTAGATTTTATTCATGTGTTTGAAAGATTTGGGCCTTCTCGCATTTTCGGATTTCCGACGCTCCAAAGCGGTAAGAGCGCCCCAAGACGGCCCAAGAGGGCTCCAAGATGGCCCAAGAAGCGCTCAAGACAGCCCATGACGGCCCCAAGAGGGGCCCAAGCAGCGGACCACGAACCCAGCATTCGACATTTGTGCCCCGAGAAAACCCCAGGAGGCCCCAAGAGGCCGCCACGAGGCCCCAAGAGGCCCCAAGAGCCGCCAAAGAGGTCTCCAAGAGGCCCAAAAGATACCCCACGAGGACCCCTAGAGGCGCCCAAATCGCCTCCAAGAGTCCCCCGTGCGGCTCCCCACGACACCCCAACACATACACAAGAAACCTCAGACCCACAACCCAAGCACGGTGGCGGGATGGGACGAAGGCCGCTAGGATCCGCCGCCCCCTGTTGCTTGCAAGAGGGGTGCCTGGCGTGCCAAATCCTATCGTTTTTGGTTTTGGTTCTTCTCCAAAAGAACTCCCCCTGGGGCTCCGGCGCGTCCCGCCGGCCACCCGGAAAGGACCTCAATCCGGAAACAAATCCTCCAAGACAGCTCAAGATGGCCTCCAAGATGGCCACGTTGGCCCAACATGGTCCAAGACGGCCTCCAAGACGGCCCAAAGAGGCCCCCCAGCGGCCTCCAAGACGGCCCAAGAGGCCTCTAAGAGGTCCTCAAGGAGGGCCCGAAGAGGCCAAAATCATTGATGTTCCATATGTTTTTGAAGGATTTCGGCATTTGTTTCTTCATCTCCGACGGCTCAAGACGGCCCAAGAGGTCCCCAAGATCGCCCACGAGGCATCTAAGATGGCCTCCAAGACGGCCCCGAAGCGCTCCAAGAGGGCCCCAAGCTGGTTAAGAGAGGCCCCCAAGACGGCTTCCGTCGGCGTCAGACGTGCCAGGAACCCACCAAGATGGCCGAAGTTGACTCGAAGCTTGCCCGAAACGGCCCAAGCGGCCTCCAAGAGGGCTCCAGAACGCCAGAAAAGGCCGACCACACATACTTTCCTTCGGTTTTTGATGGGTTTGACATATTTGCTTCTTTTCGGCCTTCCGACGGCCCGAGACGGCCCAAGAGCCCCAAACGATCGCCCAAGAGGCCTTCAAGATGGCCCCAGACCGGCCCAAGAGGCCCCCAAGACGGCCCCAAGAGGCCCCCAAGACGGCCCAGGAGACAGTTAAGACGCCCAAGATGGCCTCCAAGACGGCCCTGGAGCACCCCAAGAGGGCCCCAAGTCGGCCCAGAGATGCTCCCAAAACGGCTTCCGACGGCGTCAGACGGGCCAGGAGCCCGCCAAGACGGCCGAAGATGGCCCAAAAGGCCTCCAAGAGGCCCTAAGATGGCCCAAAACGGCCCAAGAGGCCTCCAAGAGGGTCTCCAGTAAGGCCCGACAAGGCCAAAATCATTGATTTCTTGAGTTGTTTGAAAATTTTGGCACTTTTTCTGGGCCTTCCGACGGCCCGAGACGGCCCAAGTGCCCCCAAGGATCGCCCAAGAGGCCCAAGACGGCCCCAAGAGGCCCCCAAGACGGCCCAAGAGGCCTCCAAGACGCTCAAGATGGCCTCCAAGACGGCCCAAGAGCCCTCCAATACGCCCTCCAAGAAGGCCCGAAAGGGTCAAAATGGCCTCCAGACGGCCAAGACGACATTCAAGATGCCTACGTGTTCCCCGAAGGCTTTCCAAACCGATTCGGGGAACACATGGTCCGATAGCTTGGCCGGTCTGGCCTCAACGTTCGGCTACATAGGCGCTTCCAAAAAGGCAGGGGGCGGCGGTGATTCGCCGTAGGCGTCTTCGATCCGCCGCCCCCTGTTGGCTTGCCACCGGTGTGCTGGGCGTGCTGGACCCTAGACGGAATATGTTCCTTTTGTTTCAAAAGAACTCTCCCTGGGCCGCCCCGCCGGCCATCGGAAAGAGACCATAAACGAGCGCAACGTCCACGAACAAGCTAAAATGGCCCCAGGATGCCTCCCAGACGGTCCAAGATGCACCCAAAACGGCTGAAGATAGCCTCAGGATGGCCCACGACGGCCCATGAGGCCCCCAAGAGGCCTCCGAGACGGGCTCGCAGAGGCCACAATCATTGATTTTCCTCTGGTTTTTGACGGATTTTGTCATTTGCGCCTTTGCGGCCCTCAGACGGCCCAAGAAGCCCCCAAGGTCTCCCCAAGATCGCCCAAGAGGCTTCCAAGATGGCCCTATGACGGACCAAGAGGCCCCCAAGACGGCCCCAAAAGGGCGCCAAGACGGGCCAAGAGGCCTCCAAGACGCCCAAGAAGGCCTCCAAGACGGCCCTGGAGCACAAAAAGAGGGCCTCAAGTCGGTTTAGAGAGGCCCCCAAGACGGCTTCCGACGGCGTCCGACGGGCCAGGAGCCCACCGAGACAGCCCAAGATGGCTCTGAGATGGCCCAAGAGGCCTCCAAGAAGGCTTCCAGGGAGGCCCGAAGAGGCCAAAGGCCTCCAGGATGGCCCCAGAACGGCCTAAGAGCCCCCCATTTCGGCCCCAAGAGGGCCCCCAGACGGCCCCAAGATGGCCTCCAAGACGCTCAAGATGGCTTCCAAGACGGCCCTGGAGCACCTCAAGAGTGTTTCAAGTCGGCCCAGAGAGGCCCCCAAGACGGCTTCCGACGGGCCAGGAATGCCATGAGACGAGGGGCCCCCGAGAAGCCTCCGAAGGCCCCCAAGAGGCCCAAGGAGGCTCCCAAGATGCCTCCAAGAAGCTCCCAGGAAGCTCCCAGGAGGCCCCAAGAGTGCCCCCAGAGGCTCCCAAGATGCTCCCTCCTCCTCCTCCTCCTCCTCCTCCTCCTCCTCCTGACCTTCCCCGCCGTCCTGCCCCAAAACTTCCCGAAGGGTTTCCACAACGGTTGGGGGAACGATGGTCCGATAGCCTGGTAGAGCTCTTGCCACAACGCTCGGCCACATGGGCGATTTCAAACGGCAGGGGGCGGCGGTGATTCCCCGTAGGCATCTTCGATAACGCCAACGTCTCAATATGCGCTAATGATGCCTGTCCGCCCCCGCATGATGTTCACAGATGCGCCAAGGCAGCGCCGAGACGCACCGACGCGACTCTGATATATGCCAATTCTAATAGAGAGCCGGCTGCAGGGGGCGAAGCCAGCGGGGGGTGCTTTCCAGGCTGCGGACACTTGGTGCTCTTTACGCCCTTCTCTTCCACCTGAACGTGGGGTGGCAAAACTAGCGGCGGGGAAACCGCAACAACGCTTCACGCCGTCTTCGAGTCGGGGCTCGGCCTCACCCTTGCCCTTTAGAGCTCTCGCGCCCCATGCCGGGCCACCCATCGCACGGTACTGGCCTCGGCTGTGGAGCTCACGCCTCACGCGTCTACGGCAGGTTCCGGTCGTGACGATTCGTGCCCCGGTTTCTAGCAGCGTGGGGATCGTTCAACCTTTGAGGCTCGCGGCTTTCCGGCAGCGCACATGTTTCGATGTCGGTCAATTCTGGGCCACTGGCGGCATTCGACCTTGAACGCCCGCACTGGGGTCGCAATCGTGTAGGCGCCGCGCGAGTCTGCCGTATGTACCAAACGACCCGCCGAACGCCGCCTCGAGGCATTCACAATCTGCCCCCCCCCCCCCAGCTACAGCCGAGGCCGAATTGGCAGCAGAGTCTACGGGCACGGCCCGCCGATTGAATGACCGCGCGCAGCAAGATAGTGAGGTTCACGAACTGGAGGTCGTCGAGTCCTGAGGCTTTATCGCTTGTCCACGTGTGAACTTACTCGTCTACTCGCGTCGCAAAGAAAACTCACTGGACTCAAGGGGGGGCAACAGCGTATGAGATCACATGCAGCACGTTTGCCTTGTACTAGCGCTGACACTCCAGACATATGATGCGGTCAAGCGACTAGGTAGGGCGCAATAATGTGTTCGAAACCGACGCTGCTGTCTCCCGTGCCAGGTTTCCGACCCGGAGCCAGACTGCAGATCTAGTTCGACTGACTGTGTCGGCCATTTGTACCCTCCGCTGGCAGTCCAGGAAGACGTGCGGCTGCTGCGGCCAGGACTCTAAGCTCACGCGGCTGGACAGTCGCCAAAACGCCAGACAACCCAATATGCGCTCGCAGATGGAACCAGGCGGTGCATGGATTGTCTCCATGATGTTTCATGCCCCTCTCTGCGCCCAGGCCCGTCCAGGCGCGCAAAGCAACACTCTTGGCCAATAGCACAGAACATGGCATCGCACTTTGCCTTCGGAGTGCTTCCCGTGTCTCGAACCAAACAGGGCCCCATGACTACCCAAGTTGCCTGGACAGAGGCCCCCCCCCCCGGAGGGGTCAGGATCCTTGCAGAGGGGCTCCGGCACGCCCATGACGGCATGTGCGGCCCACGATCCCCCCAGAAGATCCCAGACAAACCCAAAACGTGCCCGAAGCAGCCCCGTCAAAATGGCCCGGGCGCTTCATGTGGACCCCACCGGGCAGGCTCCCCCGATAGCCAAGTCAGGGGTCCCAAGAGGCCATGAACACATGAAACACTGCATGATAATCCGCACGGAATGCGCATACAGCCATCGTGCGACCAGAAGGGACGCCAACTAGGCAGGGAGGGGGCAACAAATGGGCGCCTGGAACTAGATCCGAGCCATGGCCCGAAAGCTGGAGCCCGCCCTGAGCCCCAAGTGGTGTTTATTTCAGCGTCTCGACTGTAGAGTCGACGAGTTGAGACAGGGAGGCGGGCGGGAGAAACGGTTTTCAGAATTTATCGGTGTCCGGCACGCCCCGGAGACCACCTCTTCATTTTCGAGAGCTCGCCGCCCCACCTTCGAGAAACATGGGAGCACGTGGCCGGAGAGTCGACGTCGACGTCGACGTCGACGTCGACGTCGACGTCGGCGACGACGACGGCGAAAACGTCGACGACGACGACGACGGCGACCACGACGAAGACCACGAAACGACGACGAAGACGACGACGATGACGACGACGACCACATCGACATCGACGGCGACGACGTCGAGTGCGCCCAGATCCTTTCCAGCCCAGCGCTCCGCCTGCCCTGCCCTGTCACCAAGGAGAGCTATTCAATCCTGTCCCGAGCTGCTCCCGCGCTGCTGCCACCACACCCTGCATCGATCCCACAACCCGCCCAGAGCACTCCTATCGTGAAGATGTAGACGCGCGTTCCGCCATCCATGGGCCCGGCGCTCGGCTCCAAGTCGACGAGCACCTGCGAATGGTACACTGGTGCAGCAATGGCGAAGCAGCGGCGGCGTCAGCGGACGTGCCGCGCAATGTCGTGCACTCTGAAGGGAGACCGTCTACACGACCTCCAGAAAGGAAGAAGCACGCACGGAATGGTATTGCGAGGAGAACGAACGCGACGCTTAGATGGTCGTCTTCTCGCGAGCCAAGCAGGGAAAAGTGCCAACGGAATTAGAACGTTTGTGGGGCGGGCTCCAAGCTTCAAGTTTGGAAATGTATCAGAACCTTCCCCAGCTCCTTTTGGCTTGATCGCAACATGCAGGACAGCATGAGCATTATCTCTCTGTCTCTCTCACTCTCTCTATAGATATGCATTTCTCTCCATACATGCATATCTGTTGTTCTCTGTTTTGTTTTTCTCTCTCTCTCTTTCTCGCGTTTGCTCCCTGGAGCGATTCAGCAAACAGATTTTGATATTGTGTGTGGCCGAGGCATAGGAGTCTTCCGAGTGCCAGCGGGGTGCAACAGCCAAAGGGACACGGAGGTGAAATTGGGAGGCGCCCCTGATCTGCGGGGTCGGCCTCCTGCCATTCAATGGTCTCTCCCTCATCCGCTATCCTCCATTCATCCATTCCCCCCCTCCTCCTCTCGCATACCTCTTCATCACCTCCTCCTCTTACTCCCCCTCCCCCCAATCACGCTTCTCCAACTTCTCCTGCTGCTGTGCCTCCTCCTCCTCCTCTTCGATCTTGCTCCGTTGTTTGCTCGCTCGCTCGCTCGCCGCCCCCTCCCCCCATGCCCTACCACCCTCCTCATACACATCCCCTTCCTGCACGTGCTTCTCATCCTGACCCTCGTCCCCGACCCGTGCAATGTTGCCCCCCTCCTGCACCACCACCACCTCCCCGCCTTCGATAACGCTATCGTATCCTCCTTCATCCCCTCCTCCTCCTCAGGCTCCTCCTTGCTCGCCTCTTTGCACTCCCCCCCTGCCCCACCCCCTAATCTCCATCCATGTCCTCCTTCTCCGTGTCATCCTTGTTGCCGTCGTCCTTCTCCTCCCCCTCCTCCCTGCCTCTCTGTCTCCTCATCCCCCTTCCCAAGTCTCGCCCCACCCGCCGTCCCCCATTCGTTTTCTCTCGCAGCTCCTCGCCAACAGCACCCCCACTCCTCCTCCCACACCCACCTCCCCCCTCCCCCCCCCCCCCCCCCCCTCCTCGGGAGCTGCCTCTCTGGACGCATGCCAATATTGTATCCCGTGTCCCCCCAACCACTCCGAGACCACCCCCCTTTCTATCCAGCTGCAGGCTGGATGGGGGTGGCGGGCTGTCGGCCCTTCGAAAGATTGAGCGAGTAGCGGCTCGGGAGCCCCAAGATGGCAGCAAAAAGCCCCAAGACTCCCCCAGGAGGCCCCCAAGAGGTTTGAAGCCAAGACGCCCTCGAGACGCCTTCCACGAGACCTCATCAGCCATCCGAATGGCCTCAGACCCACAACCCAGGCACGGTGGCGGGATGTGCCGAAGGCCATTCGACAATGATTCTTCTGAAGTTTTGACAGTTGCCCGCCGTCTGTATACGTGGGCTCTCGCCCGTTTCCCCTTGCGTGCACGGCGGATGCTGCGAATGTCAGCCCAAGGGACTCCGAAAAGACCCCCAAGAGGCCCCCATGAAGCCCCCAAACAGTCCCAAGGAACCCCTCAAAGGCGCAAAAAAGGCCCTCGGGAGCAACACGCAACAACTGCCATTTCCCCAATGGGGTCGGCGGTGTGGCGTAAGACCAAGAATCGAAGACGCGGGCCAAAAGGGGGAAGAAGAAGAAGAAGAAGAAGAAGAAGAAGAAGAAGAAGAAGAATAAGAAAAAGAAGAAGAAGAGGACGCGCTACCACCATCCTTCCCTCCGTGCGCGCGCGCCGGAGGCCCAGCCGCAGGGGCGCCGGGTCCAGCTCGACCACCTCGACCGCCTCGACCGCGTCGCCCGCCTCTGCGCCGCCAGCCGGGTCCTGGCTGGGGAGACCTCTGGGATGTTTTCTGGGCAGAAATTCGAAGCGAATCCAGCCGTGACCACAAGGGCCTCCCAGCTGGAAGACCCCAAAAGGCGAAAACTGGGAAAGGGCAGCGGTATCGGCACGTTTCCCTTCTACGACTGGCGCCGCGCCGGGAACGCGGGCGTCTTGGCCCCGCCATACGACTGGCGCCGCCGCCAGGAACGGGGCGGGAGGCGCGGCGCGGGCGAGTGGGCGGAGCGAAAGGAGGGCGGCGGCCAGGGCGCGGGCGGCGAGGCCTCCTGACTCCGCTTCGACGGGCAATCAAGTGGGGAAAAGTACGGCCCGTGGGCGATTTAGCCGCGGCGACAGGCGGCCATCGCACCAAGAACGGCCGTTCAGCGAGTGATGCGAAGTGGAAGGGGGGGAGGAGAAAGTAAAATGACGATATTGATACTGATGCGAAGCACGAGGCAGTCACTGCGCTATTCTCTGCGCACGCGCCGGATCCCAATCTCTGAAAATAAAACGGAGGGTCGACGTGCGCGCTACAAAACTACTCCTGTGCCCCCTGCCCCTTGCCCAGCTAGTCGGGCCAGGCAGTCAGACACGGGGGAGGGGGTCCATGCAAGAGTTTAGCCGTTTGCCAAGCATATCCAGATTAATGCAACGTACAAAGCATTCTTTCTACACCCGCCTCAGGCTCGCCTGGCAACGGCTGTGCCGCGCCAGGGTCGCCGAGAAGCAGTTGACTGCGAAACTTTCTTTGGTCTCCTTTCTGGTCTAGGACTGAGTATGCCCACTCTTTCGGGCACCCCTGGTCCAGTCCGTCTCCAGCGTTTCGGCGTGTGGTTGGCTATCCTCTTCAGGACCTGCCACAACCAACCACACGGGGCAGGCCGACGCTGTCACGAACGACACCTCTGTTTCCGACTGTGCGGAAACACCACGCGTACCTCTTGAATGCAAAGATACACTGTGTCTGGTCGTATTCTGGGACTCCTTCGTACACACCAGAATTGCCAGAAGATGTCAAGCTAGGCTCTGAGAACCTGTTGTTTGGGCCGTCAAAGAAGAAGGGAGGAAACAACTGTTTGGCCAGCACCTTCTTACTCCAGTCAGTGGAGGGGTGGCAGAGGCTCTGCTGGCCTTTGCCTACCTTCGCACTATCGTAAGCCCCATACTCACGACACCACCAGAGTTCACGAGCACAAGACATCTCATGACTCGGTGGATTTGGTGGGTTTGACCTAGGCGCAGCGTTCCCAATTCCCTTGGTTGGGTGCCCCGCGCTCCCATTTTGAGACGATGCGGCCGTGTGTCTCAGCCTTGCCTGAATTGGGATCGCGCCCGTCTGCTTGCTGGGCTCTCCTGGCGCGTGTCTGAGCAGGTCTGGCCACAAGTAACGACACAACACTGAAGTCTCATCGCGGGGAGCTTGCGCCCGCCCTCCACAGTTGCAGCCGAGGGCATCGAGGTGCACGGGCAGGGGGGCATCCAGCCAAGTGCCCAGCGCGCCCGTCAACTTCGCCAACTGTGAAGTGGCCGCCCAAAAACAAACACCCAGTGCGCCTTCAACTGTGCAGAGGCCGCTCAACGACGACGCATCGTCGAAGCCACCGGCGGGCCCGAGAAGGGGTCCAAGATGGACTGGAGGCGCGTCAATTGCGACCAGACTTGTAGTATGTGGACTTGGGCTCGGGCTGGGGCCACACACTAAGTGCACATGAGGTTTCATTCATGGCCTCCGGGGTTTCCCCAGAGGGCTCCAGTAGAGCCCGAATATGGCCCCCAAGGCCTCCGAAAGCGCTCCGAAGAAGCCTCCAAGAGGATCGCAGAGGTCCCCAGGTTGGGCATTGTTTGGGGCTGATCAGGCAACTTCAGCTTCGGTCTGACCATGCAGCGCGAGCTCTGAACGGCCTTATGTTTGACTAGGGCCGGGGGTCGGATAGGGCAGATCCCGAGCTTCGGTCTGACGGCCATCCCCCTCTTTGGTCCAGTGGTGTGCATGCACTTCCCTTCTCAATACACCTCGCCTGAGGATCGGTTCTGCATGGCCTAGTGGCGATGCGCGGACTGCCAATAACTGACCGCTAAATCTAAAATCGTTGGAAATGGTGCCTGGGAGTGCATCGTTTCCTTGGTCCACTCGGGAAGATCCTGCGACAGTTGAACACATTACCTTGGCGAGTACACTGAGGGTCATGACCACTGCAGTTCGGCAAAGTTGGCAAGAGCGATAAGGGAGGGAGGGAGGGAGGGCGAGAGAGCATGGAGGGGGAGGGAGGGAATAACGCGGATTGAGGGATGGAGGCAGACGGAGCAGCGCACTCGTCCTCTGCCCTGAGCTCGGCCTCTGCCTCCGCCTTGCGCTCGGCCTCCGCCACGCGCGCGGATTCCGCCGTACGCTCGGCCTCGGCCGTGCGTTCGGCCTCCGCCTGGCTCTCGACCGCCGCCTCGCGCACGGCCTCCTCGCGGGGGGATGGTGGCCAGGACGTGAAGAACGAGAAAAAAGGGAGAGATCGGGTGGGGGGGTGGAAATGGACAAGAGGATGAAAAAGGGTTCCTCCCCGAAATTGCTTCGCCTGTTCATCCTCCTTCTTTTGTCTCATATCCTGCCCATCCTTCAACCCTTTTCCCCCCATCCTTCCCCTCCTGCTGCTGCTCGTTTCCATCCTGCCTCCCTTCATCCCTTCTCCCACAGACTCCGACCTGCCCCCCCCCCCCCCCCCCGCCTCTCCCTCCCACCCCCATCCCTCCCACAACCCTGCCTCCTCTCGAGGACGGCGAGAAGGTCTGGTTCAAGAAGGGTGATTTCGACGGCTGCTGGGGCGCCTCAGGTCGTGCTGGAGTGCCTGAGGTCGTGCCGGAGGGACCTCGAGTCCAGCGAAACCAACCTTCTCCAACGAACCCTTGTGGCAGCCTCCGAACCCTGCCTCCTCCCCCTCCCGAGGTTTTGCACACAAAGGGGCCGGCAGACGGGAGCTCCGGCGAGCTCCGGGAGAAAGGGGGCCGACCGCCGAAGCCCCGCCCCCCTCTGCCTGCACCCCCGGCCCGGAGCCCTCCCCCGCCCACGGCAACTTCGTGCCACGACGACGCGGGCCCCAGCTTCTGCCACCGCGCGAGGCGTTCAGCCTTGAACGAACGCCCTCTGCCGCGGGGGCCCCAGAGGCCGTCGCTGTCTTGGGCCACAGTTCGGGCCCAGGGCGGCCGTTCGAGAGGATCCCCGCGTCCCTGGAAGGCTCCCGACGAGGGGCAGCTGCCGGAAACCAGCCGCAGAGCCGGGCCCATCCAAGACAGCACCATGTAGCTGCACTGCTACAAACAATACCCAATACCCAATACCCCAGGCCTAGACTGAAGGCTCGACCGGGGAGACGAAATCGCGAACGCACAGGGACAGCCCAAGATAGCCTAAGAGGGCCCAAGAAGGCCCCACGAGGCCCCGAAGTGACCCCCGAGACGATCAGGATGGACCAAAGACTACCGAAGACGGCCGAAGATGGCCGCCGGGGAAAAAGGCTCCCTCGAAGGTCCCAGGGGGCCGGAAGAGGACCCCCAAGAGGCCCCGACGAGACACAATTTTGACGTGTTCAATCAAGTGTTGTACGATTTCGAAAGAGTTCTTCTATCTTCGGAATCTCCACGACGGCCCAAAGCTCGCCCCAGCATGCCATGGCCCGCAAGGCGCCACACACGGCCCCAAGAAGTGCAGGAGGGGCCCAAGATAGCTTATGAGGGGCCCAAGATAGCGCCAGATCGTTCCATGACGTCCTAAGAGGGCCGCCAGAGAGGCTCCAAACATCGGACGGGAAAGACGGCCCGAAGGCCTCCAGTCTGCCAGACTCCAGACTGCTCCAAGAGACCCCCACGACTGCCCAGAGAAGCCCGAGACAGCCCAAGAGAGCCCCAAGATAACCCAACACGCCCTCCGGATGGCTTCACAATGGCTTCAAGAGGCCCGCAGGACGGGCCCAGTCGCATCACTGGATTAGAACGGCAACGGACAGAGAAACAGAGAAACAATACATCAATGTGAATCTATAGTCAGTATATGAAACCACGTATTTACGCACATGTAATACCCTTACGCTTATTCTTAATATAAAAGATCATGCTAGAACCACGCGCACACTTCGCACACGCTTAGGTTCTAGTGTCCTCTGGGGAGCCTCCAGACAACAAAATTGGACATTGCCTCTTGGAGCATCTGAGGATTATCCGAGACGCTCTTGGAGCCATCTGGAGCGAACATGTGAGGAATTAACCGTATACCCAGAACCTCACGGACCCCGGGGATCCTCAGCTGCTGCGCTCGAATTTTTACGGAGTGCTGGTTTCACCGTCAGAACTAATCTGCAACTCGTTTCCTCATAGTCCACGCAGCCCCCAGCGGGCCCTCCAGGGGCCGTACAACCCCAAGAACTGGCCGCCGTGACTCTTCGCCAAAGCGCCAGGGGCCGCAGCACGTCGCCAACCTGCCACGACCTGGCACACCCGAGACGGAGGGGCGGGGGAGCGGGCACCAACAACGGTAGACAAGCGCGTTCCACTACTCGCAAAGTAAGTACTCGCGAATGGCCTGGATCCGCCGCGGGGGATCTACGATAAATTACATTGAAGCAGACATATGCTTCTCGGACGTTTGCGAGTAGGTACTTTGCGAGTAGTGGAACGCGCTCGGTGAAACGGGAAGACCCTCCACCGGCAACGCAGCAACTGCCGGGGTCCTGGCCGGCGCCCGCATGGACCGGGGCCCCTGCACCCGCCCCGCCGGCCGCGGGCGCCAGGGTGGCGGCGCAGAGGGAGAGGGCCAGCCGCGCAAGCCCGCCTTTGCTGCTGCGCTTTCTCTGCCCCCCTCCTCCACCACATGGTCTCATCGTCTCTCATCCGTCCTTCGTTCCTCCCTCCGCCAACCCGCCTACCTCCCCCTGCTCCTCCCTCCAGATCCTCCCTCCTCGTCGCTGTCGCTATCGTCGTCGTCGTCGCCGTCGCCGCCGACGCCACCGTGGCAGTGGCCGTGATCGTGGTCGTGGTAGTCGTCGTGGTCGTGTTCGTGGTCGTGGTCGTGGTCGTGGTCGTCGTCGTCTCCGCCTCTGGCGGCAGGGGGCCGCAGTGGCCACCAGGGCGGCGGCGGTGGCAGCGTCCGCATCGCCGTGCCCGCGCCCGCCCCCGACGCACGGCGGGGCTTCTGCCGCCAGCCAGGGGGACGCGGCGGCCCTCAGCAACGAGGACGAGGAGCACTGCTTCCCGCTCCTGCTGCTGCTGCTGACCCTCCTTCCCATCACCATTCATACTACTATGACAAGTGGTACGTGAGTGCCAAGGCTCATGCACAAGCAATGGGGGCAACCGACAGGGCTGCCACAACTTGAGATTAGACGGACAGTTAAGAAATACCCCTGCGTGCATAGAAAAAGCACCCACTGATGTGAGAACAACGTTTGGTAACAACGCTGGGAGACACAGACCAAACCAATGAATCTCTTCGAACTATGTGCAATCTAACTGGATTCCATAGTTCTGCTGCTGGATATGTTCTTACACATTACTGAAGATCTACACAAAATGGGCCAATGAACAACCGATTTCTCTCGCACTTGTGTGATTTCTCATGTCTTGTGTGAAGGCTGTATGCAGTATGTTAACATGTTGGGAGTCCCTTGTGCTTGTTGACATTGTCGTTGCGATCTGCGTAAGGGGTGCGTCAGATGTTCGGAATGTTGAGGAGGCCCTGGGCGAAACGGCCAGGCAATTCGCGAAGGGAGCGGGAACTCCAATGATCGCCTCACGCCTCCTCCTCCACACGATCCCTCCCCCCAACGCGTCTTTATGCGTGCTGTCCGCCGCGCCAGCCGCTGACGGGGGCGCGCAACAGGCGCGCCCTCGCCCTTGGCGTTCCCCCATGTTCGTTCGGGACATGCCAATGCAGATTCCAGCCTGCTCGGATGACGACGCGGGCCAATCCTCGAGCTGGCCCGGGTAACCACCTAACCGCTTTCGGCGAAGACACGATGATCATCATCGCTAACGTAAATCGCATGGTGTCCGTACTCGCTGATGCGGAACGACAGCAAACGACTCGTTCGGCCAACGGTATTGTCGTATCTGCCACAGGGGACTGATGGCTCAGCAACCCTGACCCAGAAGCTGGGAAACGTTTCAGAGCAATTACCCCAAGCTACGTTGCGAAGCATCTGGCGCAGAGCTACCTCTGACCGTAGGTTGACTAGCCACCTCGACTCCTGAAAGAGCAACGGATGGTCTTTCGAAGGCAGCCAAGCCTGCCAGAGGAACTCCTCACCCTTGCGTAGGGTCCCAGGTGTAACGTCACGGATCAACCAAATCGCATGACGCTAGCTCAAGCTCCACTCGATCCTGGTGAGACCCAAATGGAGCTCAGTCTGATACCACTTGACATTGCCTCTCTGCGCCAAGTGCTCCTCCGCCGGGCTAACCCGTGCTATCTCGTGCTCCCCATGGAAGGCCAAGCCCGTCCATGACTTTGAGGCGCTCGTCGGCTAACGCGGGATTGGCAAACTTGATGGGAACGAAGCCGCGGCATACCTTCGTGGGACAACCTTCGTGATTGTACTGAACCCCGTGACGGTCGGGCTCCCCAGCTAGAGCATACCCCCCTCAAGGTAAGAACAACTAGTTCAACTCCGCATCGCTCATATCCGGGACCTCCTGGACGAACACTCGGCATGCGGGCGGCGCATCGAGGAGATATCGGTGAGCGTTAACAGATCGTGCCAATCGTCTTAGAACATTCCCTGAATATCGGAGGCCGCCTTCACCCAGTCGTCACGCGTCTCTTGGCGACCTTCAATTAACTTGGGATCCCATTGCCTGGGACCTTCCAGGCATCACCAACCGGCTTCTCGAACGAGAACTCGTGGTCCATGAGCTCGTCCAGGGCTACCTCGATATCATTATCCCCCAGCAGCGTGCAAGGTTAGACCGCATTCGTCACTCACTCCTAAACGATCTGACGACACTGCGGGACTCTTGATCGAAATGACCGTATTCCGATGGCTTGTTCGGATCGTACCGATGGTCGCTAGGCTCAAACATCGAATCGGTAACCGGTAACACGGGAATTTGAAATTTTGCATTCGCTGGCGATCTTGATCGCCTGGTAGCGCGCCACTGCGCCTTCGATTTGGCCTGAGGTGCCTGCTTGGTTGCCCTGGGCGGTGTCAGTGTTGCTGCTGCCGCTGCTGCTGCTGCTGTTTTCGCTGGCTATCGCTGCGCAGGGTCGCTAGCTTAAGAGACAAGAAACACTGCATGAGCATAACATGTCGGAGGTTCGCGCGGGTTTCTTGGATCGGCGCCAGACTCGCCGCCAGGGGGGTCACAACGCCCTTCCGAGAAATCCGCGCGGAACCCCGACAAATTATGCTTATTATGTTCTTTCGTCTTCGATGGCCGCTGGACAGGCGCTTGCTGAAGAGCTCCCTGGCTCTTTGTCTGTACTGGTTGGCGGCTCCACTGCGTACTCTACGAGCAGATCGAGGCGGGGGGGCCCGCGCCTTCTGCTGTTCTCGTCCTCCTTCCTAACTGCCGCCCCCCCCCTTCCTCCCCCTCCTCTTCCTTCCTCCTCGTCCGTCCTTCCTCTACCTCCTCCTCCTCAAACCTTCTCGTCCTCCTCCTCCTCCTCCTCCTCCTCCTCCTCCTCCTCTTCCTCCTCCCTTCCTTCACCTCCTCCTCTTCTTGGTCGCCGCGTCTGCGGGGCGCGACGCCGCAGGCTGCCAAAGAAGGCCTCGGCGCTCTCCCACCGCAGGGCGCCCTCCAGCGAGATCGAGCCTGCGCGGGGGCGAAGCTTTCCGTCGCAGGCTGCTGCGGAAAGGCAGATCACTGCCACGCAGATGTGGTCTCCGAGATGAACTGTTTTTTGTCTGGGCCAAGTCGGTGCCGTAGGCAGGATCGCACGCCGCTCAAGGGCTCTCGGGCCTGGGTGCTTCGGTTGGGGCCCACAAATGCGGTGATGACCGCCCCCCCCCCCCCACCGTGCGCTTGCTAGCCAGACGCATGCTTGCTCCTGCAGACCTGGCGGACGGCCATGGAGCTCGCTGGTGCCATTTACTTCAAACGAAAGTCGTTCGACCGCGAACGCTTCAACCTTGAACGACGGCGCCCGATCTGCTGCCGTGCCCAAACAGCACGAACTAATCAAGCTCGGCTGTCAGGCTCGTGATTTCTACCAATTCCCATACGGGCCAGATAGAAAGGACACATGGGTCTGCATAACCGCTTGCATCCCTCCTCTTCCTCCTCCTGCTCCTCCTCCTCCTCCTCCTCCTCCTCCTCCTCTTCTCTCTTCTTTCGTCTGTCCTCTATCCTCGCCGTTTTCCTCCTCCCCCTCCTTCCGATCCTCTCCTCGCATTGTCCTCCTCCTCCTCCTCCTCTTCCTCCTCATCCTCCTCTCCTCGTCCTCCTCCTCGTCCTCCTCCTCCTCGTCGTCCTCCTCCTCGTCGTCCTCCTCCTCCTCCTCCTCATCCTCCCCCACTTCCGCATCCTCCTCCTCCTACTGGCTCGCCGAACATATTCTGAAACCACGGCACTCATCCGATTCGATAACCCTTGGGACATCCGGGACAAGGGCTCGCTCCCTCCTTGCTCCTGCTCCTGCTGCTCCTCCTTCTTCGCTTCCTCCCTCTTCCTCCCCCATCCCTCCTCTCTCCAATCAGCGCGCATGCGTGACGCCGCCCGCCCCCCCCCCCCCCCAGGGGAGCCGGGGGCAACGGCTCCATGTGCAGTACACCTGGTGGCGCCATGGAGCGTGAGGGACGGCGACGAGCTTGACGGAAGCGTGCACGGCGGTAAGGGCGCGGAGGCGGACGGGCGGCAAGGACTGGAGGGCGGGCGGCTAGCAAGGGCTGGATGGTGGCAGAGTGGGCGGGGGTGCGGCGGCCCGGGCGGCACGCGGATAGCGTGTCGCTCCGCTCCGCGGGACGGGAAGCTCGGGACGTTGACGCCTCGGGGCCGTGAAGTGGATAGCCTGCCGCACCGAGGCGCGGTGGGCCAGAACTGGCGGAGCGACACGATATCCAAAAGCTCCCGGCCGTAATGCTGAAGATCCGCCTCCGCGGCGAGGGCGGCGAAGGGGAAATCGGCACGTGCAAGGGCGGGAGGGCGGCCCACCATGCGAGCCCAAGGGCGAGAGGCGGGCCGAAGGTGCGGCTGCGAGTCGGCGGGCTTCAAATGCCACCGTGCAAAACGCGAGGGATCTGCGGGTGGGACCCAATGGCGCGCAGCCCCGCAACACAGCCCGCTTGCCCCGGGCACGAGCTACCTATGACAGCTCGGCCGCTCACCGACGCAGCCCAACTGCGCCTCAGCACCCCTGGCGCATCCCAGGTTGACAACTCCGATGAGGCCCAATCGGGCCTCTGCGCCCCTGAACCCACCTCAACGGCAACTCTTCCTGTCAAACCACAGAGGAAACCAATCGGGGTCAACGCTGATCAGCGCTTTGCGCTTTACCATCCATTCACGCCCCATAGGGGCCAGCGGGAAATTGTGTTTCCCAAACCATCATGTGGTGTTGGGTCCTCGTTTTGAAAGGGCAATGCCCCGCGTCCTCACCTCCTCCCGTTGCCCCCCCTTCTCCCCCTGCTTGACCCTGCTCTCAACATGTCCATTTCGGCTCAGTCCTCACGCGCTCCGTGACCCCATGGGCGCTCCAACTAATGTGGAAATGCAAGGGTCCGCATGGCGTTGCCGCCTCATTTCGGCACACACCTCATACTTTCTGCGGCACCATGGGGAGCTCCACCGAAAGCCTACATGCCATTGTCAGCATAACGTCGCCGCCACATGTCCGCACACGCCCCACACGTTCCGCGGCCTCATAGGGCGCTCCAACTCAGGCCCAAAGGCCAGGATTCGCATGGCGTCGTCGTCCCATGTCGGCACACCCTTCACACGTTCCGTGGCCCCATTGTGAGCTCCAAATAAGAATCACTTGTCAGGGTCCGCATAGCGTCGCCGCCCCATGTCGGCACAGCCCACACATGTTCCAGAACCCCATTGGAACCTTCAACTCAGGCCCACATGCTAGGGTCCGCATGGCGTCCAACAATCCACTCACACGCTGCTCTGTGGTCCCATAGGGTGCACCATCTCACGCACCAATGCCCGGGTCCGCATGGCGTCGCCGTCACATGTCGGCACACCCCTCACACGTTCCGCTGCCCCGTTGGGAGCTCTAACTAAG